TATTAATTTTGGAATATCATTGGACAATTTGCAATATCATCAGTCTCGTCATTGGATATAAATATTACTTTTAGTTCTGAAGTTTGATTGTGCAGTATTGATTAGTCATGTTCTGCGGATATTTAAGAATGCAAATAATATATAAATAAACAAATTAAATTAAACATGAGTATTGAAAATTTTTTGTCGTCTGTGTTTAGGTTAATTTAAATGATAAAATTACTCATATCTAAATATGCATCATCTACTTGGTGCTAACATGCAGAAATTCTTTATTTGTGTACATCAAAAAATCTGCATAGCAAAACTACCAAAGTATTTGGACACATAAATGTATGTATGAAATTTTATCAAATAAAATGGTGTTTAAATAAAATACGTGCACTTCGTATAAAGTGCAATGAGCTCTCTATAAAATTTGCTTAAAAAATAAAAAATAAACTATGTTAAGGAAATGAATAATTAAAAAAAGAAAAAATAACTAAATAGAAGCGTAGGGCAAGTTTATTGTAAAATAGGCATTTTAAATTAATAAACAATTATATCTCCATTATAGTTGTGGTTTAATGTTAAGTATTAAAACAGCAATAAATTAAAAATTAAAGAAGAGTATTAATTTTTATTTTCGTCGTCCGATTTCAGGTTGATTTAGATGCTAAACTTACTCATACATAAATATGTGTCTAGTAGTGTCAACAAAACGATAAGAAATAAACTGTATGCAAACATAAACAAATTCTTTTATTTGGGTACCTACATTGAAAAATATACATAGCAAAAATATACATACTACATAGCAAAAATATACATAGCAAAAATATACATACTACTGAAATATTTGGACATATATATATTTATGTATGGAATTTTATTCAATAAAATAGTGTTTAAGTAAAATTCATACACATTTTTTGAGGTACTCCTCACCTGAAATTGATAAAAAATAAAAAATAAAATGTTGAAGAAATGAAAAATAAGAAAAGTAATTAAATAGCAGCCTAGGGCAAGTTTATTGTAAAATAAGCATTTTAAGTTATTAAGCAATTATATATCCATTACATTTGTACTTTAATATTAAATATTTAAATAACAATAAATTCAATTTTGGCAACAGTGACATAGATCTAGAATAATGTATATCATTAAGTCTATGCCAGAATCCACAACAAAGCACTTTTAGTTAGTTTCTGATTATGTACAGAATTCAGTTATTAGTCTCCGTAATATTATGATATTTTAAATTCTTAATGATGCTTTTATACAATCATTTGTGATCAATGATTTTACAATTATTTGTGCTAATAATAATAAATAATCTAAATATTATATTTTTAAACAACTCTGGAACTATCTCTTCGATAATAAAGAACATTTTTTTCTTGAACAGCTTTGGATAAAAAAATATTAAAATTCACTTTCCTTTTTATTTTTTTCTAAGGTAGTATAAGTTAAAGTAGTATTTTATGTAAATATCTCAGTTAACTGGTACAGAAATAAAAAAAAAACTATCGCTGCTTTATTATATTTCCGAGAAAACAAAGCGATTTCATTTTAAAGATAAGGTCCATTTCTGAGAAACAATTGTTTCTGACAAGTCAAACAAATGCAATGGATATAACTATAACTAGTTCAACTCTATCTCTATTAAAAAAAGATATATAAATGATTGTTTCCGAATGTCATAAGAATTAAGGGTATTTTTGAGTAATAAATTTCCCAAAGGATATCTTTAAGAGATATCTTTTGACATAATTTACTTTGGCCATAAAATTTTATCGGTAAACATTATATTTCTTGGAAGAAAATGACAAGTCAAAATATTGTGTCTAAAAAAATATTATAAAATTTAATTCATGGATAAATCATAGTTTAAAAAAGCATATTTCTTTTTCTCTTAACGTTTACATCACACTTTGGATGTGAAATTCAGAAAACAAAATCTTCCTAAAGTTGATTAAAGTACTAAATTAAGCATTTGATTTAACACAGCTTTTCGAAATTAGTGTAAGCATCTGTTTCTGAATATCAAATTTTAGTAATAAAATATTTTTTCTAACTCAAAAAACAATGATTTTAATACAATTATTACATTCTGTAGTGATTGGCAATTTTCTTATAAACATTTTACTAGTGCATACATTCAGCAAACATACAGCAGTATTTTTCTAATGTTTAGTTTTTCTTTTTATATTTTTAAATGAGTTTAAATATATTGTTTATTTTATCCTATTTCTTAATTCATTTTAAATGTAAAATAACTAATTGCAGAAAGTAGCAGAGTTAGGTACATAAGTTTGAGGACATAAAATATTTATCTATTTTAAAATAAATTAATAATTTTTATCCCTTTTCATAGCCTCTAAAAACAGAGAGGTCAATTGACGCGTAAAACGGATCTGGTTTAGATCGTCTATTTGTAAATATTGAATCTTCATACTTTTGTTAAAAAAATCCTAAGTTCGTTTTAAAACACCCATACGAAACCGAAAAACAGCGACTCTTTAATAGCAGAATAGCTATTGCAATATGACAACAATAGAATATAACTTACCTATTTTAAATTTTCAGTCATTATTCCTAGAACAACGTTCAAATTCAATCCCCTCAAAATATGTTATTCAAAACAAATTGCGTCTGCTTGTTAGTGTTATGAGAAGAATCTAAAAGTTGTTTTGTAGTACCTAATCACTGGAAAAGATTTAGATATCCCTGAATTTAAGGAAGTTGCCTCTCATTTTATACGATGGTTTGCTCATACGTTGGTTTGCTCATATGTTAGATGAATCTGAATTTGGTGTTTAGAGTTTTTCACTGACCTTGAGTTCTTGGCATAAAATTACTTTAAAAAACGTTTAGATTCACCTCATTCAACTAGTAGAATGGCGAATCAGAGTTCATAATCAAGGTATGTGGAGCCGCAATTTTTTTTGCAATTTCAGACCATTTAGAAGTGTGAGTGACCTATATTTTAACTTAGCATAGGTATATCTTGAGATATATCTTATTAGATATATCTTAACTCAGAAGATGTGTTTTTTTTTCCTTTTTTTCTTTCTTTTTTTTTGAAAGTTAGATACGCTTTTTTAAAACTGTATAACTGTATATTTTAAAACTATATGCCGACCAGGTGGTGGAGTGGTTAGCGTGCCTGATTACGGAGCCGGTGGTTGCGGGATAGAATCCCGCTCCGGGCACGGATATTTCTTTCTCTCTGTGTTCTATGCCCTTTCTCCTTTGTGTGATTGCGTGAATGTAACCCACCCTATGCACGGGTTTGTGTTTGTGTGACGTGGGCGACGCTGCTCCACCACCGTGGCATCGCCACAGGTGCCCACTGGGTAACGAGAAGAGTGTAGCAGTTCTGGCACTCCTGGCCAATAGAACAATACATCCCAAGTGCCCGCCATTAAAAAAGAAAAATAATACTTTAAAACTATACAACTTAAAACTATAAATAATTGAATTTCCCCAATGATTAACACAATAAACACTAAATTGGTAAGCAGGGAGTTATATAAGCTTGGTACTGAATCGAAAATCTGTATAACTTCGTGCAAACCGTTTCACAGATCTTTGACTTATAGATGCTCAACTTTTATGAATGAAAATAAAGGTAGGTTGTGACGAAGAGAATTATAACAGTTAATATATCGAAAAAAATCACCAGGTTTCAATTATCTGTTTTAGATGGCAACACCATCACTGTTTTGACACCTGAAACTAGACTCAAGTACCCATCAAATGCACTTTACTCCCAAATACTTTATCGTGAATAGTTTGTGATGTAATTTTACATAAGCACCTCGGTAAAAAAGAGACAGACTGCTGGAGGAAATCAATTCCGTTTTCAATTAATTGATTTCTATTTTAATGTATTCCGACTGTAGACTATATAGCTGTTTCGATTTGACCAAATAAAATTAAGTTCTCTCCTCAATGATAGACAGTGACTGAAACATACCTAATGTATTTTTCTAATTGATCCTTATTTTTTTTCATAGTGATGTCCTTTTTTCTTTTCTTGTACTGAACACCTTAATTGCTTTCAGTTATAGATGAAAAATGTTCCTTATATGTACGCTATAATTTATTTTCTTATACCAGTTGACTGGACAAATTTATTTAGTTTAATAAGCATGAACTCATTTACAGAGACACTGTTACAATATTTATGTAAAAACACAGCTTGAAATTATAGTTCCACATTTAACATTGAGGAACAATTGCAATTTGTGACAAATACCCTATCAAGGAATTTATAACGAAATGCAAAGTTTCCTTACTCAGAATTGTGATTTTGTGCAAAAATAAATAAATAAATAAAATTAAAACTAAATAAATATATAGAATTAAAACAATAAACCTTTTGTTTATAAATTCATATAATATTTTTAAAACCTATTTGGAAGAACAGGCGAAATTTATTTTATGTATGAATACATATTAATGAAGTATTTTTAACTAAACAAAATCTGCTAACCTTTATATTTACAGTACGTAAAATAATGGAGACATTTTCTTAAAGCATAGCACTTTTCAAATGCAATATTTACCTACTTAATTGAACCACCATCTTACTAAAACATAGTTTTATCATTTACAAATTAGTTCACTTTTTCTTCACAATTAAAGAGTAATCAAAATCAAATTTTAAATTCATATTTTATTCATAATGAAAACAAAAGCTGTTAAACTGCCATTCAAGATTACGTTTTATAAATGCAACTTATTTTATTTCTTCATACTTAAATGCATAATTTCATTTAATCCTACTTAGCATTAATATTAATAAAGCATATTTTTCTTCTCAATTTTTTTTTCGAAAATAAAAATCACCCATTCGTTTCGTCCAACAAGAAACGGTTTAAGCCAAGAGAGTTCAAAGAACAAATCCAATTCATTTATTTGAGCACAAAACCACGTGGTGTCTCTATGCGCATGTGCTTCTCCGCCAAACTCTGGTGAACCACAGGCCGAATTGTTTTTCCGGCAGCACACGCGCGCTGAACAGCAAAGCGAAAGTACAGTTATCTTATCGGTGATATTCTGCTCCGTCTTACGGAGACGGAAACTTCCGTGAAACGGGACGCCACGATTGAAGGAAAGTGTGTTATTATCTCAGCCATGATAATCTTAAATGGTGTATAAAGGATAAGCGATATACTGCTGCTATGTTTTTAAAGGATTGTAAACTGGGTAGGATGGTGTATATTTGGATGTTCAGTTTCATATTAACTGCAAATAGTGGTGAGTAATGCATTCATTCATTATTTACAAACATTTAATACACACTCATTTGTTTTATTTCGAAGTTTTTCATTTATTTTATTTTTTAATGAGATAAACGATTTAGTTACAAGAGAAAACAGAAGAATACTGAATATATAAAGAAAATTCACAAAATTAAATTAGCTTGCGGTTATAAAATGCGATCTTCTTTTATATTATGCAATATTTAGAAATAAAGTGTTTCATAATAATTTATTTTTAAAAAAAATACCATAAGTTAAATCATAAAACTTTTATAAAATTTATAATACTCCATTAATTCGAATTTTTTTCTGTTATTATTTATAAATTACTTATTAATAGAAATTATTTATTTATTTATTATTAGAAATTACATTTTTATTTATTGTTAGAAATTATTTTTTATATTTCATATTGATTTGAGATATTTTATTATTTTGTATATAGATTTGAGATCACAAATGTTAAAATAAGGAAAACGTTTATGCTACCAAGTGTAGAAAAATAAGAAATAGTTACAATTTGTTAACGTAAACAAATAAACAAATTCTGGTAGAAGAAACACAATTATCTTAAGTGCTTCAAGAAGTTCAAGCACTTTTTAATTATATTTGATAATATTTTCTGCAAACTTTTTAAATATCTCTTAACTTTATACGCGATTTTGTAACATTAACTTCAGATATGTATGAAAAATAATATTAGGAAATCTATATGCTAAAGTGAAACAGCAGAAAAACAGCGTAGTCATAAAAAAGAACGATATGTAAAACAAACACCCCCAACTAATTAACTGAAATAGATTTTTCTAAAATTTATTCATTAGCGGATGGAATTAAAATACAAGCTTATCTTGTTACAAAATAATAAAACTTTTTGAAAGTTTTATATAATTAGCATAAAATAAAAAGAATACCCTACGCTATTTTATTGTCTTTTAATTCCAATTGAATAAAATGTTTTACTTCATTCTTCTTCTTCTATTTCTTCTTTTATTCTTAATTTTAGTAATCTGCGCTACTTTAAAAAACCATATGCTTATTTAAAAAGGATATAAGATATATCTAATATTTTATTGATAACGAATTTGAACAAAGTTTCCTATTTCACTGACTTAAATTATACATTAAGTTAATTGCAATAAATTTAAAAATAATATAAAATGACTAAACGGCTCTTTTTTTAAAATGTATTGTGCAAAATTTTTAATTAGCACAAGAAAATTTGCAATACTTTGCATACTCTAGAAAATGTAAAAATTTTTACTTCAATGTTTAAAAGTACTATTTTGAAATAATTATGTTGCCGAAATGAATCATTCAATTTATTTTTTCTTCCTTTAAGTTGTTTACAAAGTATATCGATCAGATTGAATTGGAATTCAACATATATGCGTTAATATCCATACAAAGTAAATTTTAATTTAAATTACTGTCGTTATGATTTATGGGAAGATACAACAATTAGTAATACAATTGACATATTTTGATGATAGATTCTCTTTCTGAATTATTTACGATAAATTGATCTATTTCATGATAAATTATTTTTACTGAATTCTATATAAAAATATTACGATTTTACGTTTCTCATTTCAATCCAAAAACAAATATTTCAAACTTCTACTCTATTAAACAATGTTCTCTAATAAACAAATTTAGATTCAAATTGTTGACACAATATAAGAAACATTAATTTAAAAAAATCTACCGAATTCCCTAAATAAATGCAAATAAATATTAAAAAACAAATACATAAATAAAAAAAAAACATTCTGAGAAACTAAGTTTCCAAAGCATGGAAATAAGTAATTATAAAATCAAAAATATGCTTCAAAAACAGCTTTCTAAAACCTATTTAGAAACTAATGAATTTCCTTTGAAATCATTAGCATTATTTTTAAATAAGATGAATCTAATTTGTTTCTATTCTGTGTACGACCCTTTTTTGGTATTAACATGATTGAAATTAAATTTAAGCATTTTCAAAAGAATTTGCATTTTAAAACTGTAGAGTTTTTTTTGTTAAATTCAATAGCAAGCACGCAATTGAAGGTAAATATATAGTGAGTCACTGGGTATTTTTTTCTTTATTTTCTCAATTAATGTATTGTGCTTTGAGAAGAAGTTCATCACAGCCTTTACTATCTTAAATAACATTTTAGTTAATAGTTTTTATTGTAATATTTAAAAAATATGTCAGAAAAATCATAAATAGTTTCGTCTTAATAAAGTTTATTTCTGACTTTGTTACATCGAAAGCGAGCTATAAATTAACTGGATGTGAAGAAACTGCAGTTGTAAAATTTTGTGTTGCGTTTCAAATATTTTGTGCTGCATTATCAAATAATAAGTATGTTCAAATTATTTGGAAACTATTGTTAAAAATTTAAAAAAAATCAAAATAAAAACTTTGAGGTTCTTAAATCATGGTCTGTAATCATTATGTCTTAAAAATCGATTTGCAGTTTATTTTATATTAAAAATATATACTTTCATATATAAAATATATCTTCATTTTTCAATATAATTTTTTTTTCAAGTAAAAAAAAAAATTGATAGCAAAACTTCACTTCCCCCCTAAAATGCATGGAACTATTAAACACTTCCTGAATTACATTAAATTAAACAAAGAATGTACATTTGCAAATATTATTTTTCATATAATTTGATATTATAATTATATCGTATAATTATTTTTCATATAATTTGAGAAATATAAATTTAAAAAAAAATGAAAAATAATACATTTAAAGTTCAAAATTTTAATGTCAATATATTTTAAATCCATTAAACTTTTCTAATTTGATGAAAGCTAATTGGTTCAATAGAATTTAATAATTTCAGCATAAATAGAAATTGTTAATTTTAATTAGATTAGAAATTGCTTACATATTTATGTAAAGAGTAGATTGCTTTTGTGTTTTTAAATTTTCAAACATATTTTTTTTTTATTAGCTGCCTTTTAATACCAATTTATTTTTTGACAATATATATATATATAAACGGTTTAAGCCAAGA